AGTCGCCTCTTCCTGGTGACCTCGGTCGTGGTCGGGACGAGTGGCTCGAATTCAAGTGCTGCGTCGCTGGGGATAGCGGCCCGCATCGGCAACTGATCCAGACGCGGTCGGGCTGGGGCGCATCGCGGATGCCTCGCAGCTTCTCGCACCCCTGCGAAGCACCCAGCCCGCGGCCATTCTAGCCACTGGCACGCTGAGCGGAGCCAGCCCCGGCCCTGCTCTCCATCGTCTCCTTCAGGATGGATGCTGGGACGCAGCGCTCCTCCAGTTGTCGCGCCCTCGATTCGCCCACGATGGCCCGAAGGCGTTGTTGGAGCCGCTGGCCTCGTAGATCTCCTTCGTTGGAGCAGCTCTCGCCCACCTGCACTGAAGCGGCACGGTCGCCTGATCAGCTCACCCCTCGGGCCCCGGCATGTCCGCGCGCGGGAGCCTCCCGCTGGCGCGCGACGAACCTGCCTGACTGTTCTGGCCCTCGTCTCCAGGGCCGTCAGCCTGTCGCAGCCCCCTGGGCCACGCGGCCCGCGATGTCCAAGATCTGTTATACGCAACCGCTGCTACGCGGTTCACCGCCGACTTGACCTGGCCGACCTGCTCGCGGGCCTCCACCTGCAGGGCCCCCTCGCGCTGTCGGGCCACCCGCCCTGTGCCTCGACGCCCGGGCGCCCCCCGCCTGCCCCCCCTGCTCTTCGAGCAGGGGGGCGGGCGGCACCGCCTCCGCCACGTCGAGCCACGAGACGGAACACGTTAGCTGCCAGCTAGACTGCCCCTCCAGCTGCACGTTTCGGCACCACGTCGCACACCCTGGGTCGCCGCCCTTCGCCGACTGGTAGGTCTGCGCCGAGCACGTGCCCAACTCCACGTAGTTCCCGCCCTCTGGCTAGGTCTCAAGCACAGCTGCTCGCGGGCCGCCCGTTGAAGCTTGCCGATGATCGCCGCGCCGGTCTTCGCGACCCCCCTGCTCGCGCATTTGCGATAAGCACGGCCATCTTCATACCGCAGACACCCTTCATGGCCTCCTGAGCTGCGGCGCCCCCCTTCGGGAACATCCCCCCCTGGGGGCGCGACCCATCGCGTCGCTGGTCCAGACTGGAGAGAACTCGATGCCAATCTCCATGGCGAGGGTTGTCGCGTCGGCTCGGGTCGTCGCCCGGAATCCAGCGCACCTCGTTGGGCACAAGTCGCATCTTGGACGCGGCCCAGGGGGGCGGCGGCCCCAACGAGGGCGGCGGCCTTCCGCTGGGGAGACCCCAGGGCGCGGCGCTCCATCAGGCGAATCTGGAGAAACTTGGATATGAAGACCGCCAAATGTTGCTGGCTGCCGTCGAACACCACGCAATGTGAAATTGCTCTAGCGATGTTATGCGGTCTCATGCTTGCTATCTGGGAATCTCTCCTGGTCACGCCGGGCGACGATAATGCTCGGGGCATCTATCTCGGGTCTCCCCAGCGGAGGTCCCTGCACGGGTTCTTTGGAGAAGGTCTTCGGCACCTCTGTCCTATGCATCGCAAACGCCCTGACATGGGCACGCGTGTGATCCACGCGCACGGGCCCTCCGCGACGCTGACCCCGATGGACTGGCACTGCCTGGTGAAGGTCCCGCTGAGATCCCTGAGGCCCCAGGGAGTCCCTAGTTCATGATGGAGATCTCCTGCCGGTTCTACTCGAGGACCTCGAAATTCTCCTCGACCAGAGCCCCCATTGCGGACGATGGCGATCACGCGATGGATGGTCGCGAGCACGCGGAGGCTTGCGGCCGCCTTCGGAGACAAGCCCCATGCTCGCACCGCGTGGAACTGCCGCGCACATCATTGGCCTCCTGCGCTCGAGGCCTTCCACCACCGAGTAGAAGTTCTCGAGGTACTTGCGGTGCACCACGGGACGCGATAGCAAGTCGTCCACCAGGCTGACGTAGCAGCGGCCATTGTCGGGTGACTCCCCCGGCTTGATGGGCCTCTCGGGGCCGACGTTCACCAGGAAGGCCACCCCCGTCTCGCATCCCAGGACCACCCCGAGCTTCGCGAGGAACCTCTTGGAGACCAGGATGAGCACTCCGTCCTTCGCCAAGCCGTTGATCGCGATGTCTCCCAGCACTCCTGCACCAGTAATCCCGAACTTGACCTGGCCGCACGCTGTCGCCTTCTCGCCGTCTTCGAAGCTGGGCGGTAGTCCGCGCTGACCTGGAGCACGTTGAGCCTGGGCACCGTCTCCAGGGCCTGGACGGCGCCCATGGAATCCACGCACCCAATGCCCACGATCCCAAACCTGGCCTCGACAGTCTGCTCGACGAACAGTCCCTGGCAGTGGCCCCCCCGCAGTCCTTCTCCTCAGAGTCGCGTGGCTCTGCCGCTAGCACTGCCACGAAGCCCGCCAGGCGAATGGTGCCGCCCGACGACGAGGCGCGCGCGCGCAGTCACCTCTCACGTTGATGCTCGGCTTCTCCTCGGACTCCGCTGCCCGCGCGCCAGGTCGCGGGCGTGGTCGCGGGCCATGTTCGTCTGGGCGTTCTGACGTCCAGCGCCGGCAACCGCCCATCACACAAATCGTCCTGCCGTAATCAGATCGGGGAGACCCTGGAGCTCCCCGTCCGCCGAAGATGTTCGGCATCGGCCTCCTCGAGCCAGGAGGGAAAGCTCCGCGGGCTGAACCATCTCGGCCAGAGCTGCCCTTGCCCCTACCTGTCGCGTTAATGGAATCCCCCGCTCCACTTGCTTGCACTCAGTGCTGCACGCGCCTCTCGTAGTAGTGCCCGCTGACCTTCCGCAACCATGACCAGCACCTCTATCCCTCCCTGTTGCGCAGCGGAGAAGGACTCGAGGGTCTCTGACTCGACGGTGCCCTCACCGTGCCAGTCCCGGCCACCTGCCCCGTCCACCCTGCTCGTCAGGCCTGGACTCGTCGCAGTTGGGCTCCTCGTCGATGTGCTACGTCTGCTCGTCCATGTTGGCTGCGGCCATGGCCTTCGGGTGCGTGGCGCGAGCGTCGCGCTCCGCCAGGTCCTCATCTTCCCCATTGGAGGCCACGGCATCGCGCGCCTTTTCGTGGCTGAAGTCACCCTGCGTGCGGGACAGGATGGATGCTCTCTCGCGGGCGCCCAAGCCACCCCTCAGCAGCAAGTGGCATTGGCGCACGATGCTAGGGAACACCTTTGGTGAAGCGTCGTCCTTCTTCTCATCCGAATCGTGCAGCACTGAGCCATCCTGGGGACAGTCCAGCACGGCATCCCACTCCCAGTTCAAATCTTCGCCGCCGCCATCCCAGTGCAACCACTGCCACCCGGTGTTGGTCTGCTGGGATGGTGACTTGGTTGGTGCTGTCGGTAGTCCAGTGGCCCGCGCGATGGCCTTCCTCAAGTACTGGTAACCTGTATCGTGCCTGCCCGCCTACTGCGCCATGCGCTCGCCATGCCGCCTTCGAGCCTTGACGAGGTATGGATCCAGCTCCTGGCCACGTCGGGTATGGCCTGCCTGGCGCGCACCGCTTCTCCAAGAAAGCCAGCAGCTTCTCGACCCTGGTGGATTCACAATACCGTAGCGCACGCCTGTGGTAGGTTCTCCACGACTTGGGGTCTCCGTCCCTCGTTGGCATCACCTGCTTGCCGTCGTCCGCACACGCGGGCGCCATGGGAGCCGCAGGCAAGGCAATAGATTAGCCACGCGGCTCCGCTACCATACAGTAGCCGGAGTGACAATATTGTCGATACGCTGCTGCGCAAACTGTGCCCCAGTCCTGGGGCAACCGCACGTGTAAGCGGTATGCTTAGAGGAGAGCGCCCCCATTTCACGAGCCACACACATTTCGAAAACATGCAAATAATAACGATGAGGAGCGTACAATGATCAAATGAATCTTCTCATCGTCCGAACGTACACAGGCTTGCCAACACACTATATCACTTGCACAAGGGGGGGGGGGGCCTTGGGGGGGAGCCCAGGATGAGGTTTTTGGGAGGAGCACCCCGCCATGAGAAAGCGGTCCCACTCCTTTGGGAGCCATCCTCGGGCTGGTTGGGGCCTCCGTCGGCAACGTCGGTCCAAGACGTCCAAGATGGCCGTAAGACAGCCCAAGAGGAGGGGCCCAAAAGAGGGCCCCGAGACGGCGGCCCTCCAAGAGGAAAACACGAACTGACATGTCGATCCCGCCGCACCAAGATGACCCCCGAGACCGAGAGCAGGCCCCCAAGAGGCCCCCAAGAGGCCCAGAAGAGGCCCAGAAGAGGCCCAGAAGAGGCCCCCGAGAGGCCTCCGACAGGCACAGCAAGAGACCCTTATGCATTCAAGAGGCCTCTGGTGACGTCGCCTCCCCTCGAGGTCAGGCCCCTGCGCGCGCTGGTGCGCGCGCCTGCTGACGCTACGGGAGCGCGGCGACGACGACGCAGCCGATCGCTAACTCCTGTGGCCAACGAGGAACATGACCACCCAGGCAACCTAGATCCGCCGCCCCCTGTGCCATGCCAAAGGGGTGCACGGTATGCCAAGCGTTAGATAACCGTTGGTCATTTGGAGAAGTTCCCAGGGAGTCTCGGCGGATCTCCTGGGCCGCCCTTGGCCCTCCCAGAACTCTGGCGTCGCAGGGCGCTGGAGGCGCCCGCCCGAGCGGAGCCGCGGAAGCAGCGCCGCCCAGGGCCAGGCCGTGCTGTGGCGGCGCGCACCAAGGGGTAGAGGGAGGGGGGTAGGCTTCCTAGAAGTAGGGGTGCTTCTGAGAAGCCTTCCAGACTCCCCGTATACCCCCTCTGCGCGTGGCCGAAGTCCTGATGCAACGAGCCGTCTGGCACGTATGCCGCCCGGCATGCACAGGTGAGGCCTGGAAATGGGCACCAACACCAACACGGGGGGGTGCCTTCAGGGGAAGATGATCCTAGATTTCGGTGTTGGTGGAAACATTTCGCTCACCTTGGCAGCCAGATTGCTACCACCATCATCGAGATCGGGATCCTCCTCCCTCGGAGGAGGCACACCGCCGATATTGGTGTTGGTGTCAACCTCTAGGCCTGCGAGGTGGCGTCGGGCTCCAACCTCGCATCCCACATCTCGCTGAGCAGCGCCAAAGCTTGCTGCCACTGCTGGCCGCTCCCGCACGCGCTGATCCCAGCGTTGAAGCTGACGACCTAGGGCAGATCCGTGGAGCGCACGGGCGGGCTCGGACGACGGCAGAAGACCTCTCCTCCTCCTCCTCCTCCTCCTCCTCCTCCTCCTCCTCCTCCTCCTCCTCCTCCCCCTCCTCCTCCCCCTCCTCCTCCTCCTCCTCCTCCTCCTCCTCCTCCTCCTCCTCCTCCTCCTCCTCCCCTCCTCCTCCTCCTCCTCCTCCTCCTCCTTCCTCCTCCTCCTCCCCTCCTCCTCCTCCTCCTCCTCCTCCTCCTCCTCCTCCTCCTCTCCTCCTCCTCCTCCTCCTCCTCCCCCCCTCTCTTCCTCCTCCTCCTCCTCCTCCTCCTCCTCCTCCTCCTCCTCCTCCTCCTCCTCCTCCTCCTCCTCCTCCTCTCCTCCTCCTCCTCCTCCTCCTCCTCCTCCTCCTCCTCCTCCTCCTCCTCCTCCTCCTCCTCGTCGTGGGGCACTGCGGAGCCCGCGGTGGCCAGCGGGTCCGGAGCACTCTCGGGGAGAACTCCCCGACGGGTCGCCCACTTAGACCAGAGCCGCCCCGTCGAGCGCAGGAAGATGGTAAGCGCACGGGTGCCCTGTTTTTCCCCACATCCTAAGTGGGGTTCTTGTTTTCTCTGCACACCCTCCGCGCAGGATCTCTCCTCCCCCTCCTCCTCCTCCCTCTCCTCTGCTCCTCTTTGCTTCCTCCTCCACATCATCATCACCATCACCATCACTCCCCACTCATCATCATCATCATCATCATCATCATCATCATCATCATCATCATCATCATCATCATCATCATCAGCATCATCATCATCATCATCATCATCATCATCACCACCAGCATCACCATCACCATCGCACGATCACTCACCATCATCGGCATCGAACGATCACCATCATCATCCTCATCATCATCACTACTCGCTGACTCACCACTTCGTCCCCATCATCATCACCACCATTTACCATCAGAATCGCACGATCACTCACCATCAGCACTCATCATCACCACCATCATCATCATCACGTCGTCATCATCACCACCACCACCATCATCATCATCATCATCATCATCATCATCATCATCATCATCATCATCATCATCATCATCATATCATCATCAAACACCGTCGTCATCATCCCATCACCATCATCCACCAAGAGGGAGCCTCGTCTGTGAGTGAATTGTGAGGAAGTCTCAGGCGGGAGCCCCCTCCCTATGGGGCCCGCAGATCATGTTACTAATCCGAGCGGGTCATCGGATTCCTGTAACTGTCGTCACTTTTGGGCTACTCAGGTCTGAATTTGGAAGAAGTATCAAGCGGGAGCCTCGTCTGTGAGTGAATTGCGAGGAAGTCTCAGGCGGGAGCCCCCTCCCTATGGGGCCCGCAGATCATGTTACTAATCCGAGCGGGTCATCGGATTCCTGTAACTGTCGTCACTTTTGGGATCCCCAGGTCTGAATTTGGAGGAAATATCAGGCGGGAGCCTCGTCTGTGAGTGAATTGCGAACAAGTCTCAGGCGGGAGCCCCCTCCCTATGGGGCCCGCAGATCATGTTACTAATCCGAGCGGGTCATAGGGTTTTTGTAACTGTCGTCACTTTTGGGCTCCTCAGGTCTGAATTTGGAAGAAGTATCAAGCGGGAGCCTCGTCTGTGAATGAATTGTGAGGACGCGTCAGGCGGGAGCCCCCTCCCTATGGGGCCCGCAATCCATGTTACTAGTCCGAGCGGGTCATCGGATTCCTGTAACTGTCGTCACTTTTGGGATCCTCAGGTCTGAATTTGGAGGAAGTATCAAGCGGGAGCCTCGTCTGTGAGTGAATTGTGAGGAGGTCTCAGGCGGGAGCCCCCTCCCTATGGGGCCCGCAGATCATGTTACTAGTCCGAGCGGGTCATCGGATTCCTGTAACTGTCGTCACTTTTGGGCTACTCAGGTCTGAACTTGGAGGAATTATCAAGCGGGAGCCTCGTCTGTGAATGAATTGTGAGGAAGTCTCAGGCGGGAGCCCCTCCCTATGGGGCCCGCAGATCATGTTACTAATCCGAGCGGGTCATCGGATTCCTGTAACTGTCGTCACGTTTGGGATCCTCAGGTTTGAATTTGGAGGAAGTATCAAGCGGAAGCCTCGTCTGTGAGTGAATTGTGAGGAAATCTCAGGCGGGAGCCCCCTCCCTATGGGGCCCGCAGATCATGTTACTAGTCCGAGCGGGTCATCGGATTCCTGTAACTGTCGTCACTTTTGGGATCCCCAGGTCTGAATTTGGAGGAAGTATCAAGCGGGAGCCTCGTCTGTCAGTGAATTGCGAACAAGTCTCAGGCGGGAGCCCCCTCCCTATGGGGCCAGCTGATCAAGCGGGACCCTCGTCTGTGAGTGAATTGTGAGGACGCGTCAGGCGGGAGCCTTCCTATGGGTCCCGCAGCTCACGTGGTTCCTCCGGGTCATCCTCCGGCGCGCGCTTCCTCTGGGTCGTCCTCCGGCGCGTATCGGCTGGGACGCACGTCGTGCGCTTCCTCTGGGTCGTGTTCCGCACGAGGACGAGGAGGAGGAGGATTGCCAGGAAAAGGAGGAGGGATGATGCAGGACGAGACAGGAAAGCAGGAAGAGGAAGAGGCTGAGGGGAGGAAGGACGAGGAGGAAAAGGAGGAGGAGGAATGCCCGAGGAGGCCCCAGTAGGTCCCGGAAGGCCCAGAAGGCTCCAGGAGGCCCCAAGAGGCCCCAGGAGGCCCCAGGAGGGGGCAGGAGGCCTAAGGAGGAGGCAGGAGGAGGAGGAGGAGGAGGAGGAGGAGGAGGAGGGAGGAGAGGGGGAGGAGGATATGAGGAGGAGGACGAGGAGGAGAAACGAGGAGGAGGAGGAGGAGGAGGAGGAGGAAGCGGATGAGGGAGAGGGAGAGGGGAGGAGAGGAGGAGGAGGAGGAGGAGGAGGAGGAGAAGGGAGAGGGAGAGCAGGAGGAGGAGGCAGGAGGCAGGAGGGGCAGGGGGAATGGGGGGGAGGAAGCATAACGAGGGGGAGGGGGAGGAGGTGGAGGAGGCAAGAAGAGGAGGAAGAGGCAGGGGTTGAGGCAGGAGGAGGAGCAGACAGGAGGAGAACGAGGAGGCAAGAGTAGGTGGGAGAAGGGAAGGGGCAGGAGGATACCCCCATGCAAGCTAAAGAGATTCTCATGTGGGGTCCTTCCGTCGGAGTAATTCTGGGTGGCGGCGAGGTCCCAGATCTCTCGAACCGATCTCCCCTCGGAAAAAAAATACTGGAGGTTATTCGAGTGGTGTCTTGGGGCCTCTCGAGGGCATTTGGGGGGCTGGTTTGGGCATCTGGCGAGCCTCCTGGGGCTTCTGGAAGCCTGCTGGTGATCGCAGGGGTCATCTTGCGGCGGAGGGCGCTGAATGTCAGTTCGAGTTCCCTCTCTTGGGCCTCTGGGGCCGTCTTGGGGGCCTTTGGGACCGACTTAGGACCGTCTTGGGCCTTCTGGGGGCCTCTTGCGGAATCCCAAGGCGCTGAGAAGTCAAAAAAACGTTGATTTGCAATTGGACTTTAAAGTGAGATCCACCTGATCTGCTGGACAGCTCCTGGAAGGCCTCTTGGAGCTTCTAGGGGTCTCTTGGGAGCCTCTTCGAGCCGCTTGGGGCATCTTGGGGGCCACGTCGCCCGCCTTTTGGAAAGAAGTGGCACGTGTGCCATGGCTCTTGCACAAAAAGGAAGAAGAGAAGGAGGAGGAGGAGGAGGTGGAGGAGGAGGGGGGAAGAGGGGGCAAGACATCGCCCCCGGGGCCCAGCAAGAGGGCCCCAATCCCAGGTGGGGAGGAGGGGGAGGTGGTGTGCGCCGCGACGCGGAATAAAGTGCTCGGAGCGGAGGGGGCACGGGGCGGAGGTCCCACTGGGCGGGGGACGGGGGGGGGACGGGGGGGGGGGGGGAAGGTGGTGTGCGTCGCGACGCGGAATAAAATTGTCGGTGGCGGAGGGGGCACGGGGCGGAGCCCCCACTGGGGCGCTGGGGACGCGGGGAGGGAGGTGGGGGAGGTGGTTGCGTCGGCGACGCGGAATAAAGTGTCGCGGCGGAGGGTGGGGCGTGGGCGGGACTCCCGCGGGGGGGCTCGGGGCAGAGAGTCACGGCGCGGGGGTCCCACTCTGGCGCTGGGACGCGGGGGGAGGGGGGGGAGGAGGGGGGGGGGGGGCGACGCGGATATAAAGCGTTCGTGGCGGAGGGCGTGGGCGGCTCCCGCTGGGGCGCTGGGGACGCGGGGGGCTCGGGGCAGAGAGCCACGGCGCGGGGGTCCCACTCTGGCGCTGGGGACGCGGGGGGGGAGGGGAGGGGGGGGGCGACGCGGAATAAAGCGTTCGTGGCGGAGGGGGCAGTGGGCGGGGCTCCCGCTGGGGCGCTGGGGACGCGGGGGGGCTCGGGGCAGAGAGCCACGGCGCGGGGGTCCCACTCTGGCGCTGGGGACGCGGGGGGGGGTGCGACGCGGAATAAAGCGTTCGTGGCGGAGGGGGCAGTGGGCGGGGCTCCTGCTGGGGCGCTGGGGACGCGGGGGGGGCTCGGGGCAGAGAGCAACGGCGCGGGGGTCCCACTCTGGCGCTGGGGACGCGGGGGGGTGCGACGCGGAATGAAGTGGTCGGAGCTCTAGACACCCTGTGCAAGAGAATACCTCCAGCCATCTAAGGCCCTGTTAAATAGCTGTCTCGAGCCAGGCGGATATGTTGGGCCGCCCTGGGTCAGAACCAGGACGCACGTGTCCCAGACTTGAAGGGATGCTGACGTCGGGCTCCAGCTTGGCATCCCACATCTCGCTGAATAGCACCAAAGCTGGCTGCCACTGCCCACTCTTCTCGCACGCGCTGATACCAGCGTTGAAGATGATGGCGTCGAGCCTCACCTTCGCCTCCCGTATCTCGCTGAGAATCGCCAAAGCGCGCTGCCACTGCCCACCCTGCTCGCACGCGCTGACCCCAGCGCTATAGCTGATGACGCTGGCCTTCATCTGCGACTGCCACAGTTCACTGAGCAGCGACAGCGCGAGTTGCCACTGTCCTCTTTGTCTGTATGCGCCGACATTCACCATGTAGTGGCCTTCAAAAAGTTCCACACCTAATCGAATGCCTTCGCGGAGCAAATGCAATGCTGCGCTCCACTGTCTTCCCTGAACACACTTCTTAATTGTCACCTCCAAAGAAACAGCCTCTCGTCGATATTCTCGCCGCCTGTCTGACATCTGGAAAGAGATGGCACCACAGTGGTTTGAGCACTATGTGGTTGGAGTCGGCATGGCTTGAGCCACAATGGATTCAGCCAAAATGTTGATGAAAGAAGGCTGCTCATGGTCCAGATGTGGTTTTCCCTTGAGTACTCCCAGGCGCTATGACAGAGACGTGTTCGCAGGTTTGGTGTTCTATCACCTACACGTATGTCGGGCGGTTTCGTTTAAACATATGGCATCGTATTCTGCATCGCCCGACTGCTTACGCCATGACCCTTGAAGTGCCCACCATATGCACACATGGAGGCGGCTCCTTTTCAAAACCTGGCTATCGCATGAGACGTCCTTACACGTCCTGGCCCTAAACATTAAGCTACGACAATGAGCGGCTGCTCCTTTCCAGACTGTGGTCTCGACTAAAAATTCCTCACAACCGCGGACACAAACATTGGAAATTCCAAAAGCTTCACACACGGAGTAAGCAACCTTTCCCAAAATCGCATTAACGCTCCAACGACGCGCACATCTCACAACACTTCGATCAAATACATTCACGGGGAGCGACTCCCTCTCAAGCTCGGTTAGCGTTGTAGCGTTGCCCGGCCGGATTTGCAACCGTGCCGTGTGCACATTGAGGCGTGGAAACATGTCAAGGGCTGCCTGGTTTGCTGTATTCCAACAATGCCCCCACCCTCACCCCTACAGGCGCCTGTAGTCGCGTTATCTGCATGCACCGCCCCCCCTCTCGAGACCAAGATCCCTCGTAAAAAAATGGATCCGCGCCCCCGAGGCCACAATCCCTCGTTAAACTCGATGGATATGCGTCCCGAGTTTCCAAGACAGCCAAGGCAGGAAACCAAGGACATCAAGATGGCCCAACATGCCTCGAAGACAGCCCAAGATGTCCCCAAGGCGGCCCAATATGGCCCCAAGACTGCACAAGATGCCTCAAAGGAGTCCAAAAGGGCCACGAGAACTTGAGAGGATCTCCCACAGGGTCCGAAGAAGCCAAAATCATTGACCCCTCGATGGCTTTGAATCATTTTCGCATTCTCACCTTTTCGAGCCTCCGTCAGCTAAAGACGGCGCAAGAAGCCTCCACAATGGCCCCAAGACGGCCAAAGAGGCCCCTCAGAGGGCCCCAAGATGGCCAAGAGGTCCCCCGATGGCCCAAGAGGCATCCAATACGGCCCAAAGACGGCCAAAGAAGGCCTCCCATGGGACCCAAGACGGCCTTAGAAGGCCTGACGACGGCCCAAGGCGACCCCAGAATGGTCCCGAGACGCCCTCCATACGGCCAAGAGGGCCCAAAGACGGCCCAGGAGAGCCCCGAGATGGCGTGAGAGGGCCCCAAGACTACCCTAGAGGGGCCCGAGGAACCCTCAAGACTGCCTCTCAGGAGTCCAAGACAGCCCCAAGACAGCCCAAACAAGTTCCATCTGAGCTCCTCAACTAGTGAAGACATGAGACGGCCTTCTTCTTCCTCCTCCTCCTCCTCCTCCTCCTCCTCCTCGTCCTCCTCCTCCTCCTCCTCCTCGTCCTCCTCCTCCTCCTCCAGCTCCTCCTCCAGCCCCTCTTTCTCCTTCTCCTCGTCCTCCTCCTCTTTTCTTCCATCCTCCTCCTCCTCCTCCTCCTCCTCCTCTTCTCCTCCTCCTCCTCCTCCTCCTGCTTCTCCTCCTCCGGCTAATCCTCCTCCTCATCCTCCTCCTCATCATCAGCAGCATCATAATCAGCAGCAGCAGCACCTCCGTGGTCAATATGACTACCATCAGCAGCACCATCGTCATCAGAATCATCAGAATCATCATCATCATCATCATCATCATCATCATCATCATCACCACCGATTTCATCACGACTAGCATCATCATCATCATCATCATCATCATCATCATCATCATCATCATCATCATCATAATCATCATCATCATCATCATCATCATCATCATCAGCAGCAGCAGCATCACCATCATCATCATCATCATCATCATCATCAGCAGCAGCAGCATCATCGTAATCATCATCATCATCATCATCATCAGCATCATCATCATCATAGTCAACATCCTCATTATCATCATCATCAGCATCATCATCATCATCATCATCATCATCATCATGAGCATCATCATCATCACCATCACCAGCACCAACAACGTCACCATCACTATCGTCTTCATAACCCCATCATCGTCAGCATCAGCATAATCATCATGGTCATCATGATCATCAGTATCACCATCATGATAATAAACAGCAGCAGCAGCTATCGGCAGCAGCCTCATCATCATCACTATCATCAGCACCATCATCATCCTCATCATCGTCATCATCATTATCGCCACCAACATTAACATCATTGTTTGTCATCATCATATGCATTAGCATGAGGATCAGCATGATGAACATCATTCAAGATAACCATCACCAGCATCAGCATCATCCTCACGACTCATCATCCTGATCAGCCGCAGCATCAGCATCATCATCAACATCAGCATCGTCATCACCATCATCACCATCAGCAGTCTTATCGTCGTAAAGAGCAGCAGCATCACGACTAGCATCATCATCATCATCATCATCATCATCATCATCATCATCATCATCATCATCATCATCATCATCATCATCGGCATCATCAGCATCATTATCAGCAGCATCATCATCGCCGTCATCATCGTCAGCAGCATCATCATCATCATCATCAGCAGCAGCATCACCGTAACCCTTATCAGTAGCATCATCACCAGTATCACAATCGTCATCCTCATCATCGTCATCATCGTCAGCATCATCATCATCAGCAGCATCATGATCATCATCAGCATCGTCAGCATCAACATCGTCATCAGCACCATCATCACCATCGTGATTGCCTTCGCAATCGTCATCACCATTACCGTTGACATCATCGTCACAATCACCTTCATCATCACAAACGTCACCCTCATCACCGCCATCATCGTCAGCATCATCAGCATCATCATCAGCATTATCGGCATCATCATCGGCATCATCGGCATCGTCATCATCATGAGAATGGTGATCATCATCACCACCACCAGCAGCAGCAGCGTCATAGACATCGCCATCATCATCATCATCATCATCATCATCATCCTCCTCATCATCATCATCAGCAGCAGCAGCAGCATCACCGCCTTCATCATCATCGCCAGCATCACTACCATCAGCAGCATCTTCAATCATCATCAGCATCATCACCAGCAGCAGCATCTTCAATCATCATCACAGACACCGTCTAAAGTATCACCATCATCGCGGAAAGTGTCATCGGCAGCAGCATCATCAGCATCAGCATCGTCCTCGTCCTCATCCTCATCACTGCTCTCCAACCCTCGGGCAGTCGCAACCCAGAATGCTGGGAAGCCGTACTGTTCAACTGGGCACTCACCTTTCCAATGGGTGATGGCCATGGTCAGTGGATAATTCTGCATTGGATTTTGAAGGAGACTTGGGACAGGAGGGTGCTGTGCAGTATCAGCGGTGTGTGTATGCCGGAATTGCTCAGATTGTCCTCCTCCTCAGCCTCCGCCCCTTTCACTCTACTTCCTCCTCCTCCTCCTCCTCCTCCTCCTCCTCCTCCTCCTCTTCCTGCTCCTCTTCCTCCTCATCCTCCTTCTCTTCCTGTCTCCTTACTCCTCTCCACCCCTCCGTCGCTTGCATAATAGAAAATAACTCCCCCTGGTTTACACCCACACACGTGTCAGTAGGGCGGGCTGGGCGTTTCGCCTGAGACATCCTCACCACTCGTGCTCCCGACGCCCCACGGATGCAGGGCCGCCCCTTCTCGAAACGTCGCGCTCGCCACAGCGCCGCGCCCATCACTCGTCCCCAACCGTTCGCAACGGCTCCACGGAGGGAGGGCGGGCCCGCCTCAAGATGTGGCTCGCGCCTCCGCGCCGCGCGCGCGTGCCTTTTGAAAGTGTGCAGCGGTCTCTCCCTGGAGGGCGGGTGGCTTCAAACATCTGGCTCTCGCCTTCGCGCAGCGCACATGTGTCTCAAAAGTTCTTGCCTTGTCCACGGATTCGTACGGTCGAGATCCCAGGAATGGCTTCCTGTCACGATGTAGGACTGCCAGGACGAACCAGTCACGTTGATTCGCTGTGTTGAGATTCCAGGAACGGTGTTCTGGCACAAGTTAGGACTATCAGGACGCAATAGTCACAGTGATTCGCGGCACCGAAGTCACTGGAATAGTGTTTCGGCACGGTTGAGGATTCTCGCTGGAACCTGCCAATAGGGCACTTCCGGCAATGAAAGCAGATTCTTGTAGGGACCTGTGAAGACGAAACTTGGAGGGAGGGTTTATTGCAACACCGTGGATGCGTCTTGGGTTTACACTGGTCCACCTCCTCCTCCTCCTCCTCATCCTGCCCCTCCTACACTCACCCCTCCCATCATCACTCACGCTCCCTCCCTTGATAAGCCCCCGCGGCTCCTCCTTCAGCTTCACGAGAACCTTGCCCGGCGGGACCTCCGGGGGGCGGCCGGGGGGTCCCCAGGCGGGGGGGGGGGGAAGGAAAAGAAAAAAAAAAAAAAAAAAAAAAAAAAAAAAAAAAAAAAAAAAAAAAAAAAAAAAAAAGAAGAAAAAAAAAAAAGAAAAAAAAAAAAAAAAAAAGGGGAAGAAAAAAAAAGAGAGAAGGAAAAAGAGAAAAAAAAGAGAAAAGAAAAAACAAAAAAGAAAAAAAAAAAAAAAAAGAAAAAAAAAAAAAAAAAGCACGATGGTGGAGGGGGGGCTTCTCCTCGGCTTTCCGCCTCCCCCTCCTCCTCCTCCTCCTCCTCCTCCTCCTCCTCCTCCTCCTCCTCCTCCTCCTCCTCCTCCTCCGCCTCCTCCTCCTCCTCTCCTCCTCCTCCTTCTCCTCCTCCTCCTCCTCCTCCTTCTCCTCCTCCTCCTCCTCCTCCTCCTCCTCCTCCTCCTCACCTTCGGATATACATTCGAAGATGTGTCGCACTGTCGTGCCGTCCTGGGGGCCTCGCGAATGCCTCCGGGGGGGCGCCCGGGGAAAGCGCCACGGGCCGCCCAGGGCCTGCTTCCCCCCAGAGGTGGGCAGAGAGGGGA